TGAGAAATTATCTATTTGATGCAACCTAATTGAGCTGTGAATTGCTGCTCGATTGGTGCCAATGAAAAAATCAATGGCCTAAAATATAAATCTACAAGGGTAGCATTGACCAGTTGAAACTTGTGACTATTATAACTTGTAATAGCTTTTGCATAATGCGTAAATCGTTTCATTTGAAGATAGTGGTCATAATGTTATAGCTGACAATTTTTGCCTTGTATATGCAAACACTAAAAGACGTTCAGCACATCTTATCGGACTTTAATGTAGCATTGGTGTTTGGCAAGAAGCAATGCTGGCTTACTGACACGGGCTTACAAAATTTCCAATTCGAAATATTTTTTCACTGATCTGTGCACTGGCTCAGACTCCTCCATCTGCTCAAGATTAAGCCCGAATCCACCTCAAATATGTAATTAGCGTACTCATTTATAGTGCATAAATTTTTTTCTATTTCCTGAAGTTCAACCAGAGTTCGAGTCCAACTGAGTGCGCCTGTCCATTTTCGTCATTCTGGCCTTTTCGAGTTCAGGCAGTTGTCTGTTGCCTGGCTGAACAACTCCTGAACCTGCTTTAGTTCCTTCTCTGGTACATCAGCGTTGAAATTATTAGTTCAGCATATAAGGACATGCAGATAATGTATGAATCAGATATAACAACCATTAGAATGCATGATCAGGTCTCGTATTCATGTGCTACAAGCGGATTATGAATCATTTTACAATAGCACATTGAAGTAACAGCATTTACTTGATCAAGTAAATTATGAAGTATTATTTGATATGCCATTATATATACCCGAAGAGTATGTGTGAAAAAATAGTGCTTTAATGAACAAATGAGTTGTGAATTGTTTGTCAATATTCTGGAGGGAGGGAGGGAGGGAGGGAGGGAGGGAGGGAGAGAGAGAGTTGAGTCGCCATTATTTTGCTGTCCAAAGTAAGCATACAGATTTGAAGTGCAGGTGAAGTTCATAGAAATTTCCAGATTAGAAGTTGAAGAGTACCTGCAGCGTCTAATTGCTTTTGAAGTTCTTGGCCTATTGCATCATTTTCAGCCTGCCCAGTGATTTTATTCTATTAAGTAGAGTTTTAATAGGGAAAAAGGAGGTGCGGTCAAAGTAGGACAGAGAAATTCATCTATCTATCTATAACAATATATATTTTCTAGAATATAGAAAACGAATAAGGGATATTGTTCATTTTCAGCCTTTATACCAGTAGAATGAGGGTAGGACAACCTGAAATAACATAAATTGCCAATTTTGGACTCTCTCTTTATGCAAGCAGATAATTTGAAGCCTAATCAACTAAATAGTTAGTTAGGCAACACAACCGCTATAGCATCCACTATTTTCAGTAATTGATACTCTACTTGCTTTTTAAAAAAGGTAATAAGCAAGCGTGTCCTGACAATATATCATCTAATCAGCAACAAAGAAGATTATAACATACCTGGAGTTCTACAATTCTTTTCAGTTGAGCTTCCTCATCATCTCCATCAGATAACGGAATTGCAGCAACCAGCACATCGAACTGCACAAGAATTGGTGAGAATTTTATAGTAGAGTTCTCATATATAGTACAAATATAAGAAGAATGTTAATTGCCATGAATTCACCCAAGGTACTTCACTAAATGTGGAGATATCAAGAAAATGATGAAAATAAGATGGAAAATGGGTCAGAGAGAGAATAGCTCCAATACTTAAAACTTTCGTAGCACATGCCCAAATTACGCCCAGCTCCTTTAGAGTCTGGAGGGACCCAGAAATACAGGTGAAAAAAAAATTATTTTTCTCGTCTCTTTAAAAAGGATCATTCTGCGGGAGTTCACAGTGAAAAGCATCTGACTCATAATGGTCAACATGGTAGCAGGAAAGTGGATTCTTACTAACCATTGTTTGCTAATGACAAGAAAGTTCGAATTATTTTTCACCATTTTTAAACATGTTTGTCATGTGACACTACAATTTACTATGAATACTATATACGAATTTTAGGTAATTAAAGATTCCTTGAACCAGAATTATACAGAGAGGAATAAAGGAAGAATCAACAAAAAGAGACACTTTTTAATGAAAATAACAGGGACGATCATAGAGCATATAATAACAAGTGAAAGTGTCTAAAAGTTGAAAGAAAATTCTAAAGAAGTGCTCAGTTTGTTCAAACAGAAATTCTATAATTTCAAGATACCCAAATAAAATAATAAAAAACATATTACCATATGTCAGAAAATCAAACAAATTCATGTGCACGTCTCTCATCTCTCAACAAAAGTGCTTCACTATTATGTAATTACAGAAAATAACACAATTGGTAAATGACTACATTGTATTGCTAGGAAGAGAAATGAATGTTCATCACATTTTATATTTGTGGTTTTAATAGGTTGCCTCCATTTCATCTTATTAATTGTCATTTATGTAAAATTATGGAATGAATAAATATTAAAAAAAATAACAATAAGAAAAAACCTGCTTTGCAGCTTTCACTAATTCAGAACTCATTGTCTTGGGTTGATCTGCCAGATTTGTCGTCTCATCCGTGCCACTGGCATTCTTGGGAGGCTCAGGATAATTAGGCGATAGCCGAACTGGAGGGGCGTCTCTTTGAAGTGTCCCAACGATATTGAATGAAATTGCTGCTATAGTGTTTACTTGTTCTTGTAGTTGGGATATAATGTCCATCTTGCACTTTCTTTGCCCAAATTTTCTGAAAAATATTTATATTTATAAACATTCATTAATTATTTGAGCAGTTGAGAACCTATTATATTAATAATAAATACACATTTTCTTTCTTCTAGTTTTTTTGGGGAAGTTAATTGAATATGAAAATGAGATAATAAACAAATGAAATTATGCTAAAGAAGTCAGTGATCAATACATTGACAGGACAGATATATTCACCCCTTTGCCATGAATTTCTGAATAATTGCAATCTTTCTACTTTTAAATTTTGTGGATAAACAACAAATAGTAACATGTAATTTTTGTTCAGTATAAAGTACAATTACTAATTAGAAGATTTTCTCACTGTCTAAATAATTTTGTGCTTCAATTTTTTGTATAATGTTATTTAGCCCCACAAGGGTTATAAACACAGTCTATGTGTTAGGCGATAGACTAAATGAAATGTCCACTTATCATTTAATCCTAATGGGGATAAATAGCATTAATCCAATTTTTTACTATAATAGAATTAATTGTTCTTTCCCTACAGCATCAATTTTTTGTTCTCTTTTCTTGATTTACTTCCCGAGCCTACATTTTTGGTTTCCTATGCAGTAAATATTTTAGCTTTATTGAAACTGTTAAAAAAAAATTGCAAAAGGTATAATAGACGAAAATGATCCAACAACAAAACAAAGAATTCTGGGATAGATAAACAAAGCAAACAATGATTAATGCGCACTTGCATTGCAGCAACTTGTGACTTCCTGTATTTCTGGGTTTTTTTTTGGATAATCGTGGATGTTCGGATCATCTTGCGAGCATCTCGACTAATTCCAAGGGCCCTGAAGTTTACGTCCGGATGCTCATCTCGATGGTCTTGAGGGGATTCGAACTGGTGACCATTGGGGAGCAAACCCAAGGTCTGACCAATTGATCAACCCCTCTGGGCTATTGATCTATTATGCCCATTACGATATTTTATTTAAGCAATTCCTTACATCAGAAAAGAACAGTTTTTTTTATTTTTCCATGTTTTGCTTATTGTCTAATGTATATTAATACAATTTACCGAACCTCGGCAAATTAATTATTAGAAATCATTTTGCGACATGCAATGACTACTTCTGGCATGCTTTTGTCTTTAGCTACTAATCAGTTGTAACACAAGTAATTATCCCAAAGGAGGACCTAAAAGCTAGTGAATGAGTCGATCTAATGTTTTATAAACTATTTAGCTAGATTGAACAAAACCGGCCCCATCATTTTTTTTAGGCATTGTTGGTACTTCCTTTGTTCTAAATGCAATTCTTTCAGTCAAATTTAATAAAGTTAACTACTTGTCTACTACAAAGCAGACAAGGAGAATTAGAGATTGCATCAAGAGAAGGGAAATGTAGGTCAATAGAAAATGAAAAGGGCAGCATTATTTAGGAATGTACGTACATAAACTAACAAGATACGAAAACCAGAACAATTTCTAAACAATCAGGAATGGAACTTTTCTTTAACTACGTCACGTGCCATAATTAGCTGCTTATCCTGAAAATTTATGACTAAAAAGGTAACATTTCTCCATAAATTCACATCAGAGAACAAACCTAACTTAGCCTATGTTTGGCTCGTCTATAAACTGTTTATAAACACCGAAGCTACTTTTATCAATGCATTTCGGGGGACCTACAAGTACTGCTCATTTATCTGTCACTCATTTATATATATATATTTTAATAATTTAAACCATTTATAAATGCTTCCCAAATATGTTTTAAATTTTAAACTTAACCTCAACATGTCTTGTAGGCTGAGGCAAGTCTATTCTACTTCTCAGGCAACCTGTCTTTTCTCTCTGTTATTTGCAAGAACTTAACTAAATGGCTTATGTAAACAAAGGCACAACATCTCTTACTTGACTTCTTTTGCTCAATTCACAAAATATTTGCTTACTTGTTAATTCTCTACAAATTTCATAGAAATTAGTAACCTTTTAAAAAATTTCATATTTAAAATGTAAAATTTATAATCGTATAGCCAGACAAGTCAAAAAAAGGGCCAAATGTAATTTATAATTGAATAATGAATAGTCCAGTCAGAAATTGAGAAATTTGTTTCTTTGCTTGCTACATACCGTAGTTTCTACTGGATTTCTGTTAACAAACTAATTATAACGGTTAAGCGAAGCTTCCCAGTTGAATTTACTTTTATTGAAGAGGTATAAAAAGAAAATATATTGTGTGCTTCATTTACATTAAAAGCTTTCATATCTTGTGTTTCATTACAAAATTAATTTTTATGTAAGTGAGAAATTTTCTAGTGATAGATGATACGCCTAAGGCCCATCACCAGGGGCATTCCCCTTGCACAAGATAAAATTATATAAACTGTTGCATTACAAAGAAAACAGGCATGTGCTCACTCCAATACTGATTTCAAAATGTCTAAAGGCCAGGCTACAAACAACAATTTAAGGAGCTTCCTTAAAGTCTAAGAGCAACCATTTGAAGTCCTCAGAGCCCAAAAGCATCTATTTTTAATTAGCACAGTATGTAACCAATGAATCCAGGTCTGAGAGTATCCTTCTTATATCACAAATATATGATATCATTGCCAGATTCATTCTCGTCTCCATCCTGAACATGCAAACCACCATCATTTTGAGGACAACATATCAAATACCTAGATACTTTTGCTCCAGAACTTTTTGTATCACAACCATGGGTAGAAAAACAACAGGGAGCTTCTCAATTTCTTGCTAGATCCTTTTACGAACATAGCACTCCTAGAAAAAGGGGCATGGAAACTATTACAGAACTCTCAAGCTGCAGGACATAATGCTCAAAGTATTATTCTATTCTGTAATCCTAATTGCAACTTTATGGCTGCTGGAAACGGTAGCAAAACTTCAGGGAGTTGGCCAACTTATTACTGTGCGTAAATCACTAGAAAAACGTTTAAGTAAACTGAAAATCTGTGGATATTTGGTAAAAATATCAAAAAATTGCCTTTCAGCCTATTTGTCACTTCTCTCAAGCAGAATTCAACAATGGGACTTTGGATGTCTCTTCTGATCTGAAAGCAAATACAAATTCTTCCTTTAGAAACTCAACTGCGGGTCTCTAGCGCTTAATAACTGATTAAAAACACGTGAACATTTAACCCCTTGAATCCAAGCTCTTCTACTATTGAAAATTAAACCACTAACGGATGGACAAGGCAAAATAGCGCCCAACTCGCAGCCAGGGGCGGAGCCACATGGGTGCCCCACTGGATTTGGGTCCTGTGTATTTCACCTATTATACGTAAGGTGCAGCCAGTTTTTAAGGCTATGAGAAAACCATAAACAACCGCATCAAAAATTCAAGAAAAATGTTGTCGAAAAAATCGCTGTTGCTACACGAACAAAATGAATAACTTAATAAGAATTTGAGTTGAAATTAAATCATTCACAACAATCAGATCGAGTGCGATTTCAAAAACGCTAATAAAATCCGAAATACCTTCCAATTTTGTTGATGAAGAAGTTTGAGTAGATCTCTGCAACACGATAAATTGGTGCCAAGGGGTGATGAATATATCGCCCTTTTTGCCTCTCCTTCAACATAAATTTGCCAATTAATGTAAAAATAAATAAAAATTCTTAAATGCTATATTCTAATTAACAAATAATTTTCATGAATAAAAATTAAAAGTATCAATTAAAATAATTTTTTATATTAGTTGTTGTTTTGCAGCAGAAAATTATTTTCTTATTGAGTGATTTTGCAATTTAAAAAATTATTAAGAATGCATGTGATATGTTATTGATATCTATTGTAGTGTAGATGGATTTTTTTTCTTATTTTTGCGAGAAAGTTTCATAGAAAAAAATATCTATAAATGTACCCAATAAAAATACATAGTTGTGTACAAAAATGAAAATTAAAAAAAATGTACGTATGTGATGCAGTAGAGAACTCTACTAAAATTTAATTTATGGATGGATGGGCGAACGACAAATAAAACAATAATAATTTTGGAGTTGAAAATAAAATAATAATTGTATTTTTGAGAATAAATAAATACTTAAAAAAAATAGTATGTAAAATGTTACGTAACGTAATGCGATACAAGTGGTATCATTTGTTATTTTCAATTACGGACATTCGGTCTCTTACCATATAATGAATGTAATGCATATAGTGTAAATTTTTAAAAATACGATGCGTAAAGTATATAATAAATATACTTGGAGGTGGAATCAGCACTCGACGAGGGGGGCACAGTCGTGAGTGCCGGCTCAATCGGAATTTACAGTTGCCGCAGGGAGTAGCCAATCAACTAGACTTGAATCGCAAGCACAACCACATGTGGAAGAAGAAAGACGAAGATGACAGCCACCGGTTAAACTATCAGGGTTGTGCTTTTTTTTTTTTTAATTTATTTTGAGCATCTTGTTTTTTAAAATATTAGGCCCAAGTGGGCCAAATCCAATCATGTTGCTTCACTTTTCGTTCAATTGTAACTCATTCATTATATTCCTAATTCATATTCCAAGTTATCCAACCATTATCAATTCCAATTTCCTAAACCGACAACAAACCCTACAGGCTATTAAGCTTCCTCCTTGTCGGTTGCCCTATGCTCTCGCCACTACCTTGTGACCTGCTGCGAGTCGACGTCGAGCTTCTCCGCCTCTCCAATCTCAAATTCTCAGTCGCTAATCGTGGGGGTATATATGCTTTTCTCCACTATATTGACAATAGTGGTGTGCAGTGCATCGATACTGTGGCTAGAGTTTGATGTTCGTTGTCGTCTAAGGTGCAAAGCTTAAAACTGATTTTTCTGCCAATTAAATGTACATTATGATTATCTTCTTTTTCTACTGTGTATCTTAGATAAATGCGTTCAATTGTTTGGTATTCTCTTTGGCTCTTACTTATTGTTTCGTTTTAATAAAATAATATGATATCGAGACACCTAAACTATACGAGTGTATAAAACTTTGATAGGTATTTGATTTTCAACATTTTTCGTTACGTTTTGTTAGATGTCAATGAGTTGATTAATAAAATAATATTTTGGAGAATATGTTGTTCAAAATGAAAGAAATTTGTTTTATTTGTGTAATATTATTTTATTAGAAAATTTGTGGTTAATAAGAAAATAGATAAAAAAAAAAAAGAATTATAATTTACATATAGATTAAATTTTTTAAATATTATTTCATTAAATCGTAATAAACGATGTATCTATTAAGCTCTGTTCTAAAAAGCTCGCCTAGGCTCGAAGTTTGATGAAAACGTCTCGCTTTGAGGCTAAGCGGTAATTAAGCGGTCAACGAGCAATCAACTTGATGAAAACGCCTCGCTTTGAGGCTAAGCGGTAATTAAGCGGTCAACAACAATGTTGATTGCTCGTTGACTGTTTAAAGCGCTCATAGGCACGCCTAGAGGCCCTATGCGACTAGTGCGCTTTCGCCTTGGAGGCCCAATTTTTTCCCTCTTTTTAAATATAACCCACAACAATTAAGATTATTATCAAGTAGTGAAGTTATACAACTTAGAATAGAAGTGTTTTACATTTATCAATGATTCAATAGCGAAAACGGGCAAACGTAATCTGGGCTTTTGCAACTAAGAACTTGTCTGAAATTGTAATCTGGGCTTCTGTAATTAATCGAAAATCATTTGTTGTGAATTTTTATTTTGTATATACATATGACATATCAGTTTGAGACTTCGAGAGAGTCAATTGTAATTTATAGCC